TTTCCAGTTTTCCCAGTTTTCTGGGTTGTTCTCAAGCTAGATCCCTTCACTCTTCAAGAAAAGGGCCTGGCACTGTGGAAACAACCCAAGTTTATGGTACTTTTTTCAGTAACACACTTCCCACCACAGCTCAAGGACCAGCAGCCGCTTTAAGGCCTTCACTTCAGCCACTTACTTGAGAAGTCCTACGAACTTAATCTTCACTGCTCATGTTGGATAAGCTGGACCTCAAGCCGATGAGTTATTCTGTCAGGGTGCCGGGGTACATCAGCCATGTGCACAAGCCTTCCCAGATAAAGAACACACTGACTGCAATTATACCCAGGAGGGACTCAGGCATAGAATAACATTATTAATAAGCTTCACTAATGAACAACTAAAATAAGGAACCTGTTCACTAGAACAAGATCAAAGACGTCACTAAAGGAAGGGAGGAAATGTTTTGCCATATATCTCAAGGGACTAATAGAGGCTTTCAGAAAATTCAACGACCTGGGTTTCATGTTCCCTAAAGGACAAGCTAGCCTCTGACAGTCAAGGATTCTTCAGAAACTACAGACCCAGCCAGCATCATACCACTCAGAACCAGCTGGTGAACATTGCTTTCTTGGTATTCAATAACCAAGTTCTGGAGGAAGAGCAACAGACTAAAGGTGAAGAGAGAAGGGGCCCAAATGATGAATTGCCCCCTTTTTTTTTTCAGAATAGGAAAAGGCCAATCCTTTATCACAGCCACATTACAGAATGGACTGTGCCTAGGAAACATGCTGTCTCCAGATCGTCACGTCTTGATCTGTGATGAAATTTGCTGGGGTTATCATGAACAGGATGAGTAAAACAATGATAACAATAATAATAGTAATCCAATTGTAGATTCTGAGACTTTATTTCTCCTGGAATGCCTTCTCCTTGACTCGGTATGGCTACATGGAACACCTCAAAGACAATGCTTGTTCTCACGGTATTCAGTAAATGTGACAACCAGATTTGGAACCATACATTTCTGGTCATCTGTACAAACCACTCTCTATCCTGTAGAGAGAACTATAATTAAACCGTCTCAGGGTAAACTTGCAATCTGACATGACCCTAGAGTAAAAAGAGCCTGACGTCTGAAAGACTCTAATAAATTCTCACAAGAGTGGACTCAACTGTTTCGAGCATCTGCATTCTTTTTTTTTATTAATTACACTTTATTCACTTTGTATCCCCCCATAAGTCCCTCTCTCCTCCCCTCCCAATCCCAACCTCCCTCCCCCTTCTTGATGCATGCCCCTCCCCAAGTCACTTATAGGGGAGGTCCTCCTCTCCTTCCTTCTGGTCTTAATCTATCAGATCACATCAGGAGTGGCTGCATTGTCATCTTCTGTGGTCTGGTAAGGCTGCTCCCCCCTCAGGGGGAGGCAATCAAAGAGCAGGCCAATCAGATTATGTCAGAGGAAGTCCCTCTTCCCATTACTATGGAACCCACTTGGGCACTGAACTGCCATGGGCTACTTCTGTGCAGGGGTTCTAAGTTATCTCCATGAATAGTCCTTGGTTGGAGTGTGAGTCTCTGGGAAGTTTGCTGTGTTCAAGTTTTCTGGTTTTGTTGCTCTCCTTGTGGGGTTCCCATCCTCTCCAGCTCTTACTATTTCCCACTTTTTACATAAGATTCCATGCACTCTGCGCAACAGTTGGCCATCAGAATCAGCGTCTGCTTTGACAGTCTATACTGCAGAGGCTTTCAGAGGCCCTCTGTGGCAGGTTCCTGGCTTGTTTCCTGTTTTCTTCTTCTTCTGATGTCCATCCTCTTTGCCTTTCAGGATGGGGATTGAGCATTTTAGTCAGGGTCCTCTCTCTTGATTAGTTTCTTTAGATGTACAGATTTTACTAGGTTTATCCTATGTTATATGTCTATATGAGTGAGTATATACTGTGTGTGTGTTTCTGCTTCTGGGACAGCTCCCTCAGGATGATCCTTTCCAGATCCCACCATTTACCTGAACATTTCATGATTTCCTTATTTTTCATTGCAGAGTAATACTCCATTGTGTAGATGTACCACAATTTCTGCATCCATTCCTCCACTGAGGGGCATCTGGGTTGTTTCCAGCTCCTGGCTATTACAAATAAAGCTGCTACAAACATGGTTGAGCGAATGTCTTTATTGTGTACTTGAGCCTCTTTTGGATATATTCCTAGGAGTGGTATGGCTAGATCTTGAGGAAGCGCTAGTATCTGCATTCTTAGTCAAGGGAAAAGTGCTAGCCTCAAGATGTCCCACTTAATACCTGTGTAAAATGTTTCTTTTTAAAGCAGTCTAGGTAGTACATTGGATTAGAAAACAGGATCCACCTTTGCTTGCCTCCAAAAACCACATCTCACCATCAACCACAGATACTACCACAGATGGAAAAAAGATGGGAGAAAAATCACATCACTCAGCCCTTCTCAAAGAAAATTCTCCTTGCAGTAGAATGCAAATAACAAACAAACCAATCACTGGTCACCATGCAGAAAACAGAAGACTTCAGAGAGCTCCCACCCTGCGTGGGTTATCTGTAGCATACAACACCTCTGAAGACCTGAGAATCTATGTGAAGGAAAAGGCAGAAAGACTGTAAAAGCCAGAGGCAGTTAATAACTTGAAGAAACAATGTTTTCTGGGTGCAACAGGACAAATATTCATATGAACTCAAAGCAACTGTGACATACTCAAGGATGACCTTAGGTTCCTGGTCCTTCTGTATCTACCTCTCAAGGACAGAGGATTACAGGCAGGCACCATCACTTCTGGGTAAAATTGTACATTATGCTGGGTGGCTCCATTATGAATTAATGCTAGGTATGTAAGTGATTAAGCAAATATCCCATCAACACTATTTCAGATCACTATTCCAGTTATGTTATACAAATATGTTTTTGTTTTAATCACAAGAGTGGGATATGGGGACGCCTTAGTTTATTCACAGCTGATAATCGACTCCTGCAGATCAGAGAGGGATGTGGTTGGTGCCAGCTGCAGTTACTCGAATTCTGAGGACTCAAAAAGGTATAAGTACCAGAACCAGAAGACAGCCAAAATCTCTGAGAAAGAAGAAGGTGGCTGCTCTTTATGCTGTTGCTGGTTCATGCTTCTGCTGTGTTTGTTGTTGCTGGTTTCCTGAACTGCTAGATATCCTGACAAGTGAGATTGGTATTGCCCCAAAGAACCTGATGACGCTGACCAGCTGGAAGTAGTAAAGAGACTGACATCACCTCTCCCCACTAACCTTCTTTCTCTCCTACCTAGTGTTGGGGTGTGGAAGGTATTAAGAGGAATGGTAGGGTGGAGAGTGCAAGTAGAGGCATAAAACCCCAAATAAAATAGTTCCAAGAATAGGCACAACCACATTTTATTGATTAAAACATCTATGATTAAAATTCACAGTTGATGACTTATAAAAAATTAAGAAATCATGTCTTCACATCACCATCAATTACATGAAAATAAAATCATTCAGTGACAGGTTCATATTGGAAAGACTCTTCAATATTCTGTATTCCACATTATGAATCATAGAAGACTTCACCTCCTGATTAGGAAGGTAAGGCCCTGTGTATGAACATTCCTCTTGGTTATTGTTGTACTATTATTCTTCTCTACACTTCCCAAAATATCTCAATTTTATTCTTCTCCTTCTGCAAATAAAAAAGTTAGAAGAAAAAATTAATTTTTGCACTATAATTTTCAATTGATTAAGGATTGTATGACATCCATTTTAATGGAAAGTTATGAACGGGGATTGGTGTGGAGTGTCATTGCCTGTCCCTTTCTAAATGTACCTGGGCCCTCATATTCCCCACGCTTGTAAATGAGCCTTTTCTACAATTTAGGATCTGCCCACTCAAAAGAGAAAAGCATTAAAAATTGCTTTTTTTTTGGGGGGGGGCTGGAATAAAATTGCAGCTGAGAACTAAATGAACACAAAAATTTATGGAAGGAAACACTTGAGAGGAAAATATGATGTCACTCAAATTAAAAAGAATACATATGAGAATATTCTAGCACTGATAATGTAATATTTTAAACATAGCCTACATAAGAAGACAGTGATATGATTCTCAGTGATAAAGAAGTGTGGAAAATGTTCCCTAGACTTCCCTGGACTTGAAGAAGGCTTAGGTCTGTCAACAACTTGAAGAGAAAAGGTAGACCACTACAGAAGTCCTCCCATAGCATCAGAGCCAATTGTGATGAATTTCAGAATTCTGTACTTTAGTTTCTTCCTCAGCAGTGGGGATAATCATTGAGCATCTATCTTTGCTAGCTTTATATGGGAACCTGGCACAACCTAAAATCAACTGAGGCGCAATTGAGGAATTGCCCAAATCAGATTGGTCATGAGCAAGTATGGGAGGCAGTGGGGGAGAGGGTTGTCTTGACTGTTAATTAATGTAGGAGGGCACAGCCCATCTCAGGGGACACAATTCTCTGGGCAAGTGGTCGAGGAAGTATAAGGGAGTAGCTGAACCTGAGCCTAGGAGTGAACCAGAAGGCAATGTTCCTCCATGGTTTCTACTTCAACTTCCTGCTCAATTTCTTGACCTGACTTCTCTCAATGACAGACTATAACCTGTTAACTAAAATAAGTCTCATCTTCTTCTTGGCTGTTTTTTTTTCTTAATTATGATATTTGCCATAACAATAGAAGGAAACTGTGACAGTACCCATGCTTGATCTTACATTTTTGTATTGAGTTGTTTGTCTACTGCTCTCGTTTCTAAAAATCACAAAAAATTAATTGATCAACATTTTGGAAGACTATTCAGTAAACTTCTGCTAACAAAGCAATACAAAAACTACCATAAATCAAGGAACTTTAAGGAAATTTACAAATAGTCTCCTGTGTTTTCTTTAGTGAAAGTGGTTATTCTCTGGCTATGTCATATCCATGTTATCAGAAACAGGATTTTTTTCACCAGTACCTGACATTCTTTCCACTTATTTGGAAGACATAATATTAAACCATGTATTCTTACAACTTTTGGATGCAGAAGAAGCATTCATTGAGGTAAGTATCTCTGTCGTCTGCACAAATTGGGTCCTTTTCTTTGGAGCACATAGACTTACGTTTATACTGACTACAGTTTGGCTGTTAAACATAAAACAACATAAAATCTATCAGATAATGATGATTGGTATAAAATTACACATAATAAAATAATTCAATATTAACTATTAAATATAAATATTTACATGATACATTCTACTCAAACTTAACACATTCCTAATTACTTATAAATCAGATATTTTATTGTAATGTAATGAAGGGACTGAAATTTCATGATTAGGCTCTCGTTCTACAACTTCATCTCATACTCACATAAAATCTCCTCCATTGTTTTGTACTGAGAAAAATCATGAATCTGACTTATTTGTTGTATTCCTATCCTGCTCGACACACTCACTGTGCATGTTATAGACACATATAGCTGTCACTGCATATTTATACACAGATGAAATTTATTGTTGACTGCATGAATTATTTGTAGATACAGAAAATTTGCAATTTTGATGAATCTGGTTTTCAGCTTTGTATAAGTTTTACCTTTTATTTATTGAGAATAGTTCTTCTTAACATTAATGTTATATTCCAGTGTCTGACTTCATAAAAATTGATGTTTAACCCACCCTGAAATGGGTATTTTATTGCTTTCAGTCTTCTTTTTTAGAATAAATCATTCTACTTTAAAAAATTTGCAAAACATACTATATACCTGTATACAACAAGGATTTTGTTCATTAATTGAACTTTTGAATATCAAATTTTCTACCTTGTCTATAATATTGAGTTTTATATTATTGGCAGGACTGTTACTCAACCTTTGTATAATATGAAAATAATAATTTTTGGGTTTGTTTTTAGCTGTTTGCAGTGTTATCATTTTGTTTAGTGACATTCGAAAGGCCAAAAGGTTACCTGTTAAATTTCTTTTTTTAATTATTAATTTTTCAGTCACTTTAGATCCTGACTGTAGCTCTCCATCTCACCTCCCATCTCAGTCTCCCCCCTCTCTCTTCTCCCTCCCTCTCTTCTCCCCACTTTCCTATTGGTCTGAAAAGGGCAGCTCCCTTTCCCATCCAACCCAGCTCATCAAGTTGCATCAGTACTGAGCATGTCCTCCTCCCCTGTGGCCTTGCAAGGCAGTCCTGCCAGGTAAAAGCAATTAAAAAGCTGGCAAGTGAGCCCTGTCAGATGAACTTCCCACTTCCCTCACTAGAGAACCCACACCAAGCCTAAGCTGCCCATCTGATTCATCTTTGTAGGGGCCCTAGGTCAAGTTTCTGCATGGTCCTTGATTGATTCTTCAGTCTCAGCAAGCCCCTCTGGACCCTGGTTAGTTAACTGTGTTGGTCTTCTTGTGAACTCTTGTCACTTCTGGGTCCTTTTCTCTTTCCTCCCAATTTTCCTCAAGACTCCCTACTCATTGCCCAATGTTTGGTTGTGAGTCTCAGCATCGGTTTTGAGATGCTACATAGTAGAGTCTCTCTAAGAGGATAATTCTATCAGGTGCTTGTCTGCAAGCTTACAAGAATATTAAGCTTAAATCACACATCTGACTTTGCACATTAATAGTGGGAAATATCAACATCCCACTCACACCAAAGGGCAGATCATCAAGACAGAAATTAAAAGAGGAATGATAAAAATAACAGACTTCATGAATTAAATGGACGTAAGAGATATTTATAGAACATTTCACTGAACACAAGAGATTATAACTTCTTCTGAGCACTTCACAGAACCTTCTAAAAACTGGCCATATACTCAAGCAAAAAGCAAGGCTCAACAGTTATCAGAAGATTGAAATGACCCCCTGAGTCTTATCAGACCACCATGGATTAAAGCTGGAACTCAACAACAACAGAAATAACAGAAATCCTACAAACTCGTGGTCACTGATCAACTGATTACACAATGACCATTGAGTCAGGGAAGAAAAAAGGAAAGAAATTAAATGTCCATGTTAATCAGTATTCGTTTACCGGTTTTCTTTTAGCTGGTTGACCTGTAGCATCAGTGTCTGGAACTAGTGAAAAGGAAAAAGAGAAGAAAATCAGAAAGATGGGAGAGGAGAAGGGTGATGGTTTAGCTACCAAGCCTGAGGAGCTGAGTTCGATGTCCCAGCTCCCTCATAGTGGAAGGAGAGAATCAACTCCCACAAATTGTCCTCTGACTTCAACATATGCTCTGTGGCATATATGAACACATACACACCTACAAATTATTTAAAGGAAACAAGGTAAAAATATTTACAGAGAAAAGCTATAGTCTAAGATGGGAAGTATCAATGTTTAGAAGTGACTGATGCAAATTGCTTACCCTTGTGACATTGGAAGCAAGAAGGTATTTGTCACAGTACTAAGATAATATTTTCAGGGAGACTTCAACTATGGAAATGGCAGCTACTGAATGTTTATTATATTTCAACCCTAATTTAAAAACACCACCATTTCCTTTTCTTTAATGCATCATTTTGCTGGCACCTGTATTTACTTGTATTGGCTTGGCACCTATGTGAATACAAAGCTAAAGAATATGAGACTAATCTAAATAAATTAAAGAGAACATAAACTAATAACTGAATTAACTAGAGTCAATTAAAGATACAAAAAAGGTCTTATACAGATATTGATGAGAAAATAGACTTCAAACTAATAATGGTCAAAATGGATTACTTTTTTAATTTATCTTTTATTAATTACAGTTTATTCACTTTATATTTCCACTGTAGCTCTAACCCTGTCCCCTCCCATTCCTACACTCCCTCTCCCTCTTCTCCACCCAAGCCTCTCCCCGGTCCTCATTGGGGAGGGCCTTCTCCCCTTCCATCTGATCCTATTCTATCAGGTATCATCAGGAGTGGCTGATATGTCTTCCTCTGTGGCCTGGTAAGCCTGCACCTGCCTCAGGGGAAAGTGATCAAAGAGCAGGCCACTAAGTTCATGTCAGAGACAGTCCCTGTTCCCATTCCTAGGGCAACCACACTGGGACACTGAGTTGCCATGGGCTACAATTGTGCAGGGGTTCTAGGTTATCTCCATGAATGGCTCTTGGTTGGAGTATCAGACTCAGAAAAAAAACCTGTGCAAAATGGATTATTTTTAAAGATTACTTCTTACGGATAAAGGGAAAAACACATCAAGAGGAACCTATAATTCTAAACAGATGTCCACAGAGCCGAGATGCCCATCTTCCAAAAAGCAAATACAGCCAATAAATAATCTCATATTAGCCCCACCATACTAATAACCAGTGACTTCTATACCCAAATCACACCACAAGACAAGTCATCCAGACAGAAGCTAAAAAGGGAAGCACTGAAGGTAAAGAAACACAGAGCAAAAGTCCCCAACATCCCTTGACAGAACGTCTCCATCTGGAACTATAATACACATTTTCTCCAGGGTACTGACATTCTCCAAAATATATCATCACACAATAGGACAAAAACAAATCTCAAAAATACAGGAAAATGTAAATAATATCTTATATTCTCTCTGATTACAATGAATCTTGAAATCAACAGCCCAAGCAAATACTCACTAAAGAGAGTAAGCCTCTCTGTGGAAAAGATGCTTTTAAGTTAGAAAGTCTGGTCTCTAAGGAAGCGAGGCTTGGATTTGAAAAAGTATCATGTCAATAAAATTTTAAATATAGAAAAACATTAGGTCTGAGGCTATAGCAGTGCTTCCATTTGTTCAGTGTATACATGTCGGTAATGCATTTTGACTGTTCCCACTCATCAACTATCTTGTAAAGCTTGGTTGTGGTGGTTGGTGCTATTTCATTTGGGTGTGAGCAGTAGTAAAGGAAAGAATCCATTTCTGTTTTCAACATGGTAACCTGGTTGCTATCAACACGAACAAAAGGAAGCATGGATTTCTCTGTGCTGTGCTGTGTGTATTTGTGTGTGTGTCTGTGTGTGTGTGTGTGTGTGTGTGTGTGTGTTTGCATGCATGCATGCACACATGCACCTGTGTTGGTATGGTTCTTTTTATGCAGTTCATGTATATTTGTGTGCATGTGGAGAACAGTCAAGAATGTTGGGTGTTATTTCTCAAATGTCATTCAACTTATACATGTGTTTGGAATGTGTTTGTAAAATACAAACCTAAAATTCCCCCACATCACCTCATATAGAAGGTCAGTGAGCCCCAGGACTCCATCTATATCTTTCTTCCTTGAACAATTACAGACTTGTGCCATTATGCTAATTAAGGAATGAAACTGGGACCTGGTATTTACAAGGCAAATAAACACTCTGTTAATTAAACCATATCCAAAACCCCCAGTCAATGGATTGCCTAATATTTATATGTATCTGGTCACCTTCTTGAACTTTTATAATTTCTTAACATTTTCACAGCATCCTATTTCTAATGGTTTTTGAATGCTTTGATTTTAAATAAAAATAACAAATATACTCTGTCCAGCATTCCGGTGGCTGTAATTCTGATTTTTTAGGGTGCAGTTGCCAGAGATTCCACAATAAATGACAGATGAAATCTTTTAAGAAAACAAACTAGCACTCACACCAAAAAAAAAGATATATTCTCAATAAATAGATTAAATTAATGTTAAAAAATTCATGGGAGTGCTTACTTCCAGAGATTGAAAGACTCCCGTTGAGCCTCTCTAGATGGGGAGACCCCGCTTCCC